CTGCCTGCTGCTTGTAGGGCGTGGCCTGGGTTCCCTCCTCTTACCTGGATCCCTGCCACTGCCTCCTGCTTTATGACATACCTACCAATTGGAAATAGAACAAACTGCTACATATGTTAGTGAGTTTCCAGAGGCGCTCAAGCAGAGCACTGGCATTACTAGGACATAGTAAAGGAGACTCATTTGTCAAGAAAAGATTTCGGATATTTATCCCTGAACACTCTTTCAAATGTTGTGATAGTTACAGTTATCTATCAACTTGGCTGGGCTTGCTTTTGAGTGGCTGGGCAGCTGGATGTAGTTATTCCCCATGATGAGACTGGTAATCGACTCCATGGTGGAATCTGAAGTGAGCAGCAGAGTAGCTGCCTTAGGGATGAGGTCTGCTTCCAGTATGAAAGAAGCAGCTTGGAGAAAGGTCTCCGAGTTTTTTGGTACATCTGGATCTTGCATTTGGCCGCGTCTTCGTCTCAGTGGTCTGCTATGTTGTCTCCTGATCTTGTTTCTGGACTTGACCTACTGGCCTGCTGTGTTGCTTTATGTCTTCAGACTGTGCCATTTTACTTGTTGACCTTGGGCTTGTCAGCCTCAGCAGCCAGTAGCTGCCTGAGTGAAGAGAAACCTCTAGCTTCAGTGGGTCAGGAACAAGAGGCAGAGCTGAAGCCCAAGGTCGAGGGGCTTTCACATAGCCCTTAGAGCCTGGCACTTGGAACTTAGACTTCTAGCCTCCTAAACTGTAAGAGAATAAATCCCTGTTTGTTAAAATCACTTACTTGTGGTATTTCCTATTAGAGCAGTATTAGAGGACCAAAACAAATGTGAAATGCATTGATTCTAAATATCAAAAGCATTTTTTTAAAAAAAACTAGGACATGTGCTTTTGAAAAATTTGTCATTTAAAATCCATTTAAAGTGGGGAAGGCAAGCTCATTGCAGTGTTAGCTGTACATTATCCCTTTTGCCCAGGGAGGATTGAAATTCCAATTGATCTTTGAATTCAAATTTATCCAAGCCTGTCACACTTAAGTTTTAAATCCAGGTGGTCTCGGTCTAAGGAGCTTTGGTGGCATAGTGGTTAAAGCTTTCTGCTGCCAACCAAAAAGCTCAGTGGTTTGAACCCACCAGCTCCTCTGTGGGAGAAAGAGGAAGCAGTCCAGTTCCATAAAGATTTCCAGCCTTGGAGACCCTACCCAGCAGTCCAACCCTGTCCTGTAGTGTTGTTATGAGTTGGAATCGAGTCCATGGCAGTGGGTTTGGTCTTGGTCTGGCTTGAGATTCGTGGTCCAGGCAGTATTTGCTGTATCTCGTCTTCATTGAGCACCCTCCTCTGAGGCTGTGTGAGATTAGTTACAATCTTATGGCTCAACGCCTCCTCTTGCCATGGACGTAATACTGGGATGTCAAAGCAATTCAGCTTCCACACATTAGAGATACTAAGTTCTTCATGGGTTATTAACCCAACAGAGCCCCTTCAGTGAAACCACAGGCTCTGAAGAAAGGTGGCTTTGTTTAGCATCTCTCTACTCACCATTTCTCATGTTTTAAGTAATGAGGACTCAGAAATATTACTAGAAAGGACTTGATTAAATGGGCCATCAACTGCCTTCATTGTCTTCTTCGAGTTCCTTCCAGGCATCTATGCACTCCACTGTTGTCATTTTGACAAGTTTCCGCTTTGTCCCCCTTCTTCACTTTTAATCAAATGTCTTAAAAAATATTAAATCGGCAAATGTTGTGTTATCTATATTTTTGCAAAAATAAAGTTCTCATATTGGAATAGTCAGACCTTAAGTACTTCAAGGATGAGAGGTGTTTTGTAAGTCATGCAAACGTGACTGATGACGAATGGCTTTATACAATGTCTTGTGCAACTTTCCAATAGCTTTGCACTGCATTCTGTCAGTGTTGATGGTGTAGCCCCATAATAAAATCACGGAACATAGACACAGCCAGTGTCGGATTACCCAATAAGGAAGGTAAGCACAGGCTTGCTTGTGCTTACTTATGAATCTGTAGTGAACAATTTAACATGTTTTCACCACATCAAAGATTCTGCTTCCAGATACAGCTGGCATCTGCCTCTCTCCCTACCCCACAGCACCTTCCTGCAGGATCAAAGCCTCTTTTGAAGTTTACAGTCCCTGACAGGGACGAGTTCCCTGTAAGCAAGGTAAGCCTGGGCTTACTGTGCTTAACTAATCTGTAGTGAACAACTTCAAATGTTTTTCATTACATCATGAAAACCATGTGAAACTGTTCACTACAGATTAGTAAGTATGCACAGGTAAGCCCGTGCTTACCTGTGTTCACAGGATTCCCCGCCCCAGATAGAGCAGTTCTCTGTTCTCAGGGAATTCTGACTTCCAATGCTCACCCGCGCTTGGAAATATATCGTGCTGAATGGAATCTTCACACATCCCAACCAGTGTCTCTCAATGCGGGTGTGGGTGCTGTTTCCTCTCTCTCGGTCATCCTGGGGAAGGGGTGAGAAGTAACAACTGATTATGAGCTCCGGGCACTCACCCTTAACCCAGCATCAGAGAAGCAGCGGGATTTTCACCGAAAACATACAGATGTAGGTTAGACAGACTCAATTTCAAAAATTCTGGTTCAGTCACTTACGAGCTTTGTACCCTGGGAGAATCACTTAATCTTTTGGGACCTCAGTCTCCTCCTCAATAAATTGGAGATTTAACACTCCACTTCAGAGTGTTGTTAGATAATCAAAGAAGACCCTGTCTGTAAGGCATCTAGCACTATTCCTGGTACATAACAGATACTAAAACAAACCCACTGCCGTTGAGTCAATTCCAACTCATAGCGACTCCCATTGGGTTTCTGAGGCAGTAAATCTTTATGGAAGTAGATTGCTTGGTCTTCCTTCCACAGAGTGGCTGGTGGGCTTGAGCTGCCAACATTCTGGCTATCAGGAAAATGCCTTAGGTACTATGCCACCAGAGTTCCTTAACATAACAGATGTTGTTATGTGCTATGGAGTCAGACCCAGCTCATAGTGACCCCTCCTTGGGTTTCTGACGTAGTATAACTATGGAAGTAGATTGCCCCACCTTCCTTCCGAGGAGTGGCTGGTGGGCTTGAACCGCCAGCCTTCTCATTAGCAGTCAAGTGCCTTAGGCACTACTCCATCAGCGCTCCCACATAACACATGTTGTTATTGTTGTTGTGTGCCATGGAGTCGGACCCGACTCATAGCGACCCCTCCTTGGGTTTCCGAGGCAGTATCACTACAGAAGTAGATTGCCCCATCTTCCTTCCGAGGAGTGGCCAGTGGGTTTGAACCGCCAGCCTTCTGGTTAGCAGTCAAGTGCCATAGCCACTATGCTACACATGGGCAGTTGAAAATAAAACAGCTAGTTCTCTTTCCTCCTTTCCCAGTTTGTACATCTCAAGTTTCTAACACTTCAAGCACAGGAATGATGGAAAATGCATTTGGGATTTTTGTTGTGGGTAGAGGATATGAAAATGAGTAGCGATGTCTTCCCCAAAGCTTACCTCTAAGACATCATAGAGAACCTCATCGAAAATGTTAATGAACACGTCATCCCTCACTGACTGCAGGCTGGCCGTGCTGTAATCTCCTAATGGGGCTCTGTGAAATAACACAAGGCGGGTGACCACACAAATGGCCAAGGAGCAATGAGCAGCAGTCAGAAATACTGACATTTGGAAAATGCCAGAATATGAGCATAGCTGTGAGGATTAAAATTGGTGCTTTCATTTCAAGAATTCCATGGAATACCTCAAAGTCAAATGGAAGGAGCACTGGCGGGAGGCTCTGTGAAGAGAGACAAACCCTCTGGCTGCTGGTATGAACTGGTAAGCTTTGCAAGGAGCCAGCTTACTAGGGCTGAGCTCGGTGGACTCACAGGTTGGTGCCTGTGTTGGAATATGGACTTCCTTGGCAGCAGGGCTCCTGAAAGTACTTCTTTTGCAAGACCCATTTCCCATTGAGAAACCTCCTATTATTGTCAAATGTAATAAAGAAATCCAGCTGGGAGGTTCCTCTCCTGTAGTTTAAGCCACTCTGAGCCAGCCGTGACTGGCTACACACTGCCTACTGCATCTGTTACAGTGAACCACGTGTTATAGTATCTCCTCCCTCTTCTGACTTAGTAACTCATTCTAATTTTTGCTCTGTCTCGGATTTTCTATGTGGCATTCAGCATCTCATCATCCCCCTTTGAAGTTTTAGAGAGTTCCAATGTCTCTTCAAGTTCTGAAATAAGAACAGTCTTTTCAGTATGGAAGGAGTTCCCGAGTGATGCAAATGGGCTAATGCACTTGGCCACTAATGAAGACATTGGCGCTGGAGTCCTCTCAGATGTGCCTTGGAAGAAAGATGTGGCAATCTATTTTTTAAAAAATCACAGCCATGGAAAATCCTAGGGACCACAGTGCCACTCTCACACATACAGGACCACCAGGAGTTGGGATCATTTTAAAAAAAAAATATATATATATTTTAAAATATGTAATTTAAAAAATAATTTAAATTTAATTTAAAATTTAAATAATTTTCAAACATATAATAATATATGTTTTTGGGCTTCCAGCAAGATGGCGGACTAGGCAGAAGGATTGCAAAGACCCTCTTCAACAAAGAAAAGGGAAACCAATTAACACAGACACAGAAGATAATTTTGGACCCCTGAGCCTTGAAGGGAAGGATACAGAA